CTAAAACATATAAACCACATCTGGACCATAGAAACCTCACCTGGACCGTAGACCATAGAAACCTCACTTGGACCATAGAAACTTTACCTAGACCATAGAAACTTCACATAGACCATAGAAACTACAAAATCTTATAACCTACACCTAAAACATATAAACCACACCTGGACCATAGCTCATAGAAACCTTACCTAAATCATAGAAACCTCACATGTACCACAGACCATAGAAATCTCACCTGGATCATAGACCATAGAAACCTCACCTGGACCATAGACCATACAAAGTAGAAACCTCACCTGGACCATAGAAACTACACCTGGACTATAGAAACTACACTTGGACCATAGAAACCACACCTGGACCATAGAAACCACACCTGGACCAGTCATTCTGTGTTTGTGTCTCTTTCCTGTCCTCTCTAAGTCCAGTCTGTCAAAGCAGATGGCTCCCATCCTGATCCTGGTTCAGCTGAGGTTTCTTCCCGTTAAACGGGGTTTTCCTTCCCACTGTCACCAATCAGGGTGAGCTCAGGGTGGGAGATAGCGACGAAGTGAAGACTCCGCACAATCAGCTTTACTGACTGTCCTGATTGAATGTTTTTGTCCGGTTTTCTGAGATGATGTTTGTTGTGATCTGGTGCTTTGTAAATAATCTGAACTGATTTCAAATGAATAATCCAACACAGAACTGAACATTAGCAAGCTAACAACATGTTCATGATGGGTGCAAATGATGAGAATTTTCCCCCCATTTCAGTGTGTAATACTCAGCAGCACGTTCCTCCAGAAGTCCTGGCAACAACTTACCTGACTTCACGCAGTTTTTCAAGCACAGGGCCTCTGAGTCGAACCTATTCTCATTTCCTCCACACCCTCCATACCAGAACTGTGCACAGAACCCATTCTTTCTGTCAAAGAACCACTTAGGCTCATAGTCTTTGCACGGCAATCCGGCGTCAAAGTCAAGTGAGCATGGGTCTGCAAGATGGTTAGCTAGAACATGCAAGAAATCAGTAAAAGAAGAGACGTGAAGGACAGACAGGGAGAGAGGATGAGTTTGTTAAGATTGAATGTAAAACAGGTGAAAAACAAACAAACTGCATGTAACAAATCAAACGAGCAGTTAAAACGTGTTTAAAGAGTTCCTAAACGAGTCTTTCTACACAGAAATGTAATAATTTGAGCAGGATCAAAGTGGATTAAATGAGTTTCTACACATGAAATGAAAAGTTAGTTGTGACAAACGCTAATAAATGTTAGTTTATTTTAGTAATCTACGGTGTGCAGTGTGGTCCAAGTCGTTTGATTGTGTGAATGTTTATGAAGCATTCACACTATTGTCATCCATTTTTCTTCCGTATATTTTTCGGCGCCTTTCTCATCCCACAGGTTTTAAGCAATTTCAGCAAATCGTGTATCAAAACGTTCAGCTCTTTCAGGACAATTCTGCTCTGACTTTAGGTACTGGTGCAACTTTAGCTTTTTGAAATATTTAGCCTTTTCTGCCATTTTTTCTCATAGAAAATGAAATGAGCTCATTTTACATCCTTCAAATCTTTAGATCTGTTTACAACCTTTTACTGCTCTGTTCACATCTTGTTCTGCTTCAGCTTCTTTCAGCTTCCTTGTGCCAATTAAAAAAAAAATCAGCTAATTTCAGCTGTTTTGTGCTCCTTTCTGATTCTTTCTGCTAACTACAACATTTTTGTGCTTCTTCTAACGTCTTTCTGCAAATTTCAGCTTGTTATGCTCCTTTCAGCTTATTTCTGCAAGTTTCAGTTTTTTCTACTATTTCAGCTACTATATACATTTTTATGCTAATTTAAGCCTTTTCAGCTAATTCCACATATTTTGCACTTGTTTAAACTTTTTTCAGCCCCGTTCAGTAAAAACGTGCTCTCTCCACTCCCTTTTTCATCTTCTTTCTGCATTTTTAGCTACTTTTCAGCAAGTTTTTTGTTGTTGCTAATTTCAGCTTTTTCAGACAATTTCCACTTTTCTGTGCTCATTTCTACTTCTTTCAGCAACTCTGTTCTTTCTGCGTTCTTCTGCTAATTTAAGCTTGTTCTACCTTTTCAACTACCTTTTTTTTTTTTTTTAGCTAATTTCATCCGTTTTCAGACAAATACAAGTTTTTCTTGGTAATTCCTGCTACTTTCAGACTAAATAACTTCTTTCTGATTATTTAAGCTTGTTATGCTCTTTTCAGCTTTTATCTGCTGGTTTCAGCTCTTTCTGCTATTTCAGCTACAATTTAGCTGTTTATGCTAATTTTGGCTTTTTAAGCTAATTCTACCTTTTTAAAACTAATTTAAGCTCTTGGTAGTTTAAGCTTCCTTCTGCCTTTTCATAAACTTTTCTGCTATTTTTGTTAATTTCAGACAATTTCCTAATTTTTGTGCTTATTTCTGTTCATTTAAACCTAATTCACCAAATATATGTCCTTGCTTTCTTTGCTACTTTAGGCTTGTTCGTCCATTTCTGCTACATTTCATCATGTTTTTCGTATTTAGCTAATTTCAGCAAGTTCTTCAGCAATAAGCATTCACACGGCATGTTCACAGAAAATGCCATTTCTCCCGTTTGTACTTGTTTCTAAATCTCACAGAGTTGGTTTCTGCACTTTAGACTATGTTGGTTCAAGTCACTTGAGTATCAAAGCTCAGCATTAAAATAATGGAAAAGTCATGGGTATTTTTACGACTGTGAAAGAACGACGATGAATCAGGACCCTTCAAAGGGTCTCCTGAGTCTGCGGCCCTTAAACATGTTCTCATGTTTTATGTTTGCCTCTCATCGTGGGGTTTCCATAAAAGGAAGCAGATTTAAGGCCCCGCCGGTGCTTAGCTTTGGTAACTAAACCATATTTCATCTCCAGAGAGAAACATTTCAGCTTCAGCTGCCTTGTTTGTTGGCGCACGTGATAGAAGAGATCTATCCTACAAAGGAGTGAACATTCAGTGAGTTAGAGACATTTCTGTGGTACGGACCTGCTTTTCTGTTTTTAGTTGCTAATAGCGACAAGAAAAACCTGAGGAAATTCACTCTACAGGCTGATTTAAAAGCAAAACGGTAGTTCTTTGCGTTCAGTTCAGAGTTTCTTCCTTTAAGTTTAGATCAGCAGATGAACTCAAATAAAAACTGAATCCACTCACCGGTCTCTGGGTTGTCCAGAGGCGGGGGTGTAACAGTGCTGCTGATGTGGCTGGCTGCTTCTGTGAAGAGAAACCAGCTGTGATGAAGCAACAAGCGTGGACGTTCACGTCATCTGATCACTGGATATTTAACGATTGTTCTGAGAAGCTCAAAGTAAAACAACAGGTTTTAAACAACTGGTGAATTCAAAGTCAGATTTATTTCTGAGGCACATTAAAAATAACAGAAGCTGAGCAAAGTTCTTTACCGTTCAGTCAAAAGGTAAAAACAATAAAAAGTGATCAGTTATGATGGAACGAGTTAAGAAGTTAAAAAAAAACAACACAACAAGTTCATGTTTTTTTTAATTTAATACTTTTACTTTTAGTAAATCTGAAATAAAATCTATTATTAAAAACCAAGTTAACTCTGAATGGCAGCGACTCGGGGAGGAGGGGCCTAAAAGTCGTCACCTATTTCAAGTAGAGAAGAAAGTAGGGAGAATGGAAAGAATTAGAGGAAGTCGAAAGGAACAAGTAGTGATGGCAAGGTTACATCCTGGACATACAGGATTAAATAAAAATTTACATTTGATAGCATCCAACAGGTAAATGTGTGCATGGATATAATAAGTCAATGTGAAAATATATAGGGTGAGTAGAGAAAAATTAAAACAAGAATTAAGGAAACATGGGGTGGAGACATTAAGAGTGGACAGGGTATTGGTTAAACATGACAAGATAAATAAAGTATTTGTTAAATTTCTTAAGGAAACAAAATTATATATAAGAATATAGATTAAGTAGGTAAGAAAAATACTCTGGCCCACACTCCAGCACAGTCGATGGTGATAATGCATCTTAACTTTGGATGCCACCTGCCATAAAAACTCCCAAAAGAAGAAGGCTGTCATAGCAGTTGTTCTTTTAGCTATTCCCTCTTCAAGGGTCTCCAGAGTGAGTCCTCCATGTCCCTCCATGTCCTCTGTTAGGAACATCCTTTACACAACAAGAGGATCTGAGACTTTTGACCTTTGTGACCTCTGCTCCTTGTAGCCTCACTGTTCCACCTCCTCCCTCTCGTTCACACACATGGACTCTGTCTTACTACGGCTCACTTTCATTCCTCTTCTTTCAAGTGCTTAACTCCACCTCCCTAAGCTCTCTTCCACCTGTTCTCACCACAGATCACAATGTCGTCTGCAAACATCAAAGCTAAGAATGTTCTTTCTGTGTTTTGCTGTTTTGTTCATGTAGATGTTTGGTGGTGTGGCATGAATACTCCAGTGTTTATTTGTTTAAAAACAATCCAGAGTACTGTATTTTTCGGACTATAAGGTGCACTTAAAATTCTTAAATTTTCTCAAAAATCGACAGTGCGCCTTCTGGTTGTGTTTACTGAACTCAAATCGATTTTATGTGGTACACGGCGCTCAAAAATCTGTCAGATTGAACTTGTTTCGCTTAATGCGCCTTATAGTTCGAAAAATACGGTAGTCTAAGTTTACTACAGCAACCAGCATGCTCGTTAACGGCAACTACCACTTGTGACGATTTAGGAAATGAAATGTGTCCTGGACAAAATGTCTCAAAGATCTGTTATAACTGGACCAAGAAGAACCAGTAAGAACTTTAATAAAGTTAGTAAAAGTACTCGAGTTACCCTTGTACAGTTTGGTAAAGAATAACAAAGTCAAGTGATGAAACCAACAAAGTCCATGTTCAATAATCCAGGTATACCTGGATTATTGAGCATGGACTTTGTTGGTTTTGAACCAGTTTGACAAGACTGTCGACGAGGGAGAGGGACGGCACCGGAGGAGGGGGCGTGCCAAAGACACCATCTTAGCACCAACATAACTGGTTTGTTCCACTTTGGAGTAAGCTGTTGGGGGGAAAATCAGTTTTGTGTTGTGTGTTTCCTTGACTGATGAAGCCTTCTGGATGGAAGGTGAAACGTTTCAGCACAAAAAAAAACTGTCCAGATGACCTGACTGAAAATTGTTCAAGTGATGGAAAACAAGAGTTTTCAAAGTTAATTAGGACCTTGTGACGAAGTGGGATATAAACGATAAGTGTAAAAACTAAATGACTCTTTACATTTTAAGATTTGTGGGAGTGTTTGTGGACTTACTGGTCTGGATGATTCCCTTGCGCGTGGAGACGAGCTGGCCCTCAGCCGTGTACGCCGAGACCGCGGCGTGGTACGTCTGAGCACTTTCCAGGTTGTCCACGGAAATCTCCGTGCCTGACACGTTAGTCTTCAGAACCAGTGCGTGGTCCGGCACTCGGGTTACCACGACCTCAAAGTAAACAAAGAGCTTTGGGTCGGAGTTGCCCCATCGCAACTTCAAGCTGCTCGAGGTGACGTTCGAGACGTGGAGCTCATCTGGGTCTGAAAGGTGAATGAAGGCGTGGTGTCAAAACACGGTCAGCAGAAAACAGCCGGGTTCTCCTTAAACTAGAACGTCAATGGGGCACAATGCTGTATGTCAAGGTGCACATTTAGATGTTTCTGTGAGTTTATCAGTCATCAACATCCCTTTGACTAGATGATAGCATTTCTGAAGAAAACTTCGGTGGGGTTTTTGAAACACGTTTTTTTACTAGTTGCTAAAAAAAAAGTTAACTGAACCCAAGTGTGAGATCTAAAAAAAAAACAGCTGTTGCTTATCAAAGATCACTAAAGTCTCAAACTGCTGCTATTTTCATTTAAAACGTGTAGTTTAATGAAAGGATTTAATAAAAATGAAAACCACAAGGCTTCACGGCACACATCTGAAACATTTGTGTTTCTGATGAACAGGAGAGTGAAAACAGACCAATGCTTTGTTTTATATCCATCCATCCATCCATCCATCCATCCATCCATCCGGTTCTGGACTCGTGTCTCGGGGGCAGCAGCTTGAGCAGGGAGGTCCAGCCACCTCTTCCAGCTCTTCTGGGGGACTCAAGTGTGTTCTCAGACCAGTTGAGAGATATGGTCTCTCCACTGTGTCTTTGGTCTTCCCCGGGGTCTCCTCCCAGTAGGACATGTCCAGAGCACCTCCCTAGGGAGGCGTCCAGTAGGCGTCCTAATCAGATGAACCTCCTCAACTAACTCCTATCGATGCAGAGGAGCAGCAGCTCTACTCTGAGCTCCTCCCCAGATGATGGAGCTCCTCGCCCTCTTTCTAAGGCTGAGCCACCTACACCTGAAGCTCATTTCATCTGCTTAAATCCAGGATCTGTCAGTCCTGATCCAAACTAGAGATGTCATTTCTAACCCGAACCCTGAGCCTGGCCTGGTCCGACCCGGATTAGGGCCGGGCCATAATAATGTGCTTAATGTGCGGGCCAGGCTGGTGTTGAGCTTTTGAATGCATCAGCGGACGCACGCAGCAGACAATCCAATTGTTTGGCAAAATGGCTTGCCAATTGTTACCGGCCTTGAAAGAGGTAAAATAAAGTTCAGTTAAGCTTCAAATGGGACTGCCAGGCAGCGATCCATCGCCCAAATGGACCTTCAGCCGCTGCACTCAGCGGATGCGCACGGTCGATGACCCAAACAGGTGAGATCCCAAAATATCCTCACAGACATGTCAGAGTAGTGTCCGTGTCTGAATAATGCAGCATGCAGGCAGAAGCAGGGATTTAATGCGCTTTGACGGCCATGAAAGGACAAACACACCCTCATCTCCGATCTTCTGTCCCTTTTATTCAGCTGTGCACGTCTGCCAACCGTTAATAACTATATAAGCAGTCAAAGCTTAATTAAAAATGTTGGGGGGGTTTTGGGTTCGGACCTGTAATTATTGTTAATTCGTCAGGTTGGGTCGGGTTCGGAAATGATGGCTACAGGTTGAGGTCAGGTCGGATCAAAGTGCAACTCTAATCCAAACCTCATCACCACAGGTGAGAACTGGAACATAGACAAACCAGTAAATCCAGAGTTTGCCTTTCAACTCTACTCTTTCTTCATCGTGACTGACTAGAGCAATGCCTCATTACTGAGGACAAGGCCCTGATCCATGGATTCATCTCCCGCTCCATCCTACCATCACTCAGGAACAAGACGCCAAGATACTTAAACTCTCCTACCTGAGGCAAAGACTTCCCAGACTCAGAGGGACTTTCTACCCAACACACAATCCGTTAATGGTGACAGAACCAGGATGAAATGAGGCAAACTCCATTAGTCAGAGGATACACAACAGGAAAAAATGTAATTTGTCTCACCATTGTGCTTTCTTTCAAAGACGGTTTGTTGACTTTCATAATGTTTCTGATGCTTCCTAGAAATATATATAATAGACGTTGAATGAAATCATAAATTTCTCAAATACATTTTTAACAGTCTTTGTTTTTAAACAGGACTTACTCCTGTTGGTGTGGGTGCATCAGGGGGCTTTTCAGCGGCTGGTCACTCTGCAGCATCTTACATTCACTGGACGATTCGGGGCTGGTTTCAACTGAAATGCAATGAATTGCCGACAGTTGTAACAGAATTTGGGTAAACTGATGTAACCAATAGAGTTTCAACTCATGACTGTTGATGTTGAACTTACAGCTGATGTACTTTGGTAACAGCTGACCAAAGTTCTGGATGTGTTTGTTATAAAAGTGAGAGATGCTTTCGATCCGTTTGAAGAAGACGTCCGAAGGCTCGCTTGCCATGCGTGACAGGACTTGAGCGTCCCTTGGACTCAGCGTTTCACCCACGCCGAAGATGACCAGGAAGTATCCTCGGCATTTGACATCGTTGGAAACACGAATCAGCTGCTCCTCTTGATCTGCAACACTTCCCGTCACAAAGATCATCAGAACCTTCCTATCACGTTGGAGCGGTGTTTTCTCAAATGTTTCCTCCACTGTGGATTGAATGGCCGCCGCCAGTGCTCGGCCACCCTCTAGCTGCTGTGTCTTGTCCAGCAGGACTTTGATGATATCCTGAGCTGAGTGGTGCTCAGTCAAGCCGATGTCCACGTGAATGGGAGAGCCGGATTTGTTCTGGACAAATTCGTAAGGTGCCTGCTGGATGACGGACACTCTGGCGTGATGAGAAGATGATGTGGGGTTTGAAGACACATGGAGGGCTTCTATGATGTGAGCAATGTATCTTTTAATCTCCAGAAAGTAGGATGGATAAGTAGACTCAGAGCTGTCCATGAGGAAAGCCATGTCGATGTCCACATCAAAGGTCAATGAACGGCGATCTCGACTGATTGATGGAGGGATGTAGTCACAGGTTTGGTCTGGAAAGCATGCATCTGAAAAAGAACAATTGCAATATTGTAAATGGACTGTACTCATATAGCGCCTTTCTATCTTATCTAGATACTCAAAGCGCCTTACAACACAATCTGTGCCTCATTTACCCATTCATACAGCACTCTACTAGATCTCTACAAAGCTAATTGAACAAATCATTCTAAAGAGACTAATCAGCGCTTTATCACATTCATACACCAATGGGACGCACATTGGAGGCAATGAGAGGTTCAGTGTCTTGCCCAGGGACACTTCGGCATGTGACTGCTGGTGGATTCGAACCCCCAACTCTTGCATTGGAGGACGACTGCTCTAACCACTCAGCCACAGCCACCCTATTGTAAACTAGAAAAAAAACATAGCCATTTTGAAGGTTTCTGCCACTTGATGTGATTTGCTATGTTGGCCAGCTTGAATCAGGTTGTTTCCAAATATTGAGTTAGAGATGCACATCCAATTATTCAAGAGATATTTGTTAACAGGTGTTGTCCCCAGCAGTTTATGGCAAAATTTTGACCAAAGGACCTGTTAGCAGTCAGTGTATTGCTTTAGGAACACCAACAACTACCACCACACCAAAGTCATCCCCAAAAATCACAGAGTTGTAGCCATTTTAGATTTTTGCCAATTGAGCTGTAGTGGGTTTCCAAACAACTAATGAGATGTAACGGAACCTCCAGTGATTATTTTGTGAGAGTTTCAATAGTTTGTGACCAGTGGTTCATGAGATATTTCAAAATACATACCGTTTAATAGGTCTCAAATTCCTCTCCATTCCATCAAATGGGGTTTTTGGGGGTCAGTTTTGGCCAATTACATCACCATCATAACACAAAACACCAATAAATACCATACAAACTCCTGCAGTGCCTCTTATAATCCTAATAAACAAAACATGGAGTCCATTAAGTTTGGCTAAACTCCACAATCTTCTTATGCTTTTGGCAAAAGACTGTGAAGCTTCAGAGTCTCAGACTATTTTTGTAGATATTTTTGGACCTTGTTGCAATCGTCAACCTTGAAAGATGTTTTAGGAGATTTGTTCTGCCACCAGAATCAAACAAACAAAGATATGTTTTCAGAAACCCATCTATAAGCTGCAACACGTCTTACCTAGGCAAACATGGCAGCTCATGATTTTCTGAAAGACTTCGTCATACTGGGCACTTCCAGGACTAGGAAGAACCAGTACCTGGGCCAGTTGTGTGTTGTTGACCTGGCGTATGGGGAGGAACACAGAGAAAAAAGTTTTCACACAACTATGTGCAGAAAATTCATAGAAACTTTGAGACGTTTGCATGGTTTCAGTCTACCTGCACTGCTTTGCTGAGGGCTCTGTCCTCACGGTTGACCAACAACAAAGTGGCAATTCCAGCATCGTGGAGGCGAAGAGCGGCGTTAGAAATCGCCCGAGTCTGACCAGCCCGATGGCCAACAAAGAAGATAGCCACCTTCCTCATAAGTAAACCACTGCGCACCCTCTTGAAAGTGTTCTGGGCCACGAAGCTCATGGCCGTGTCCAAGCTTGGGGGTTTACTAGACCTGGGAATCTGCAGGCCCTCGATGTGCTCCACCAGGGCACGCTTCTTCATGGCGTCGGCGAACCGGATCTCGGTGATGACTTCGGAGTTGTAGAGGGTCAGAGCAACGCGGGCTCCTCGTGGACAGTTGCTCTCAGCGATGGTGATGTCTTTGACCAGGCGTGCAGCCGTGTCACGCATGTTGTTGAAGATGGGACGATCAACGTTCTGGGAGACGTCCAGGGCAAAGGCCAGCTCCGTGGGGTAGAGAGGACACTCCAGCTTCCCTAAAATTGTTCACATAAAGTTCTCCTTACTGCATGGTAATGAACGCATCACAAGCAGGAGTTTGACGCTGTAATATTCAATAAAATATACTTATGTACTTACCATAACAGCAAGCTGGTAAAAAAGAACATAAACACAATTAGGCATTTTAATCACCACACCTAAACATTATGTTTTATTACAATAACAAGCAGAATGCCAATGTCCCTCGTCGCTGAGGGATTTGAATAGTGAATGTTTTTAGTTTTGGTGATGAGTGTTTTTCTGGACTAGAATTGAACAGGGGATGATGGTAAATCTAAATGTTTTGGTGCAAGATATTGAAGTGGGTGAGAGTTACACTGTGAAGAACAGAGAGTTATTTTATTTTATCTTGTCTGACGTGATGGAGAGTGATGGATCCTGGAGAGTGGAAAGAGACATTTTATCCACCACCAGGTGCAATGGTGGAGCCAGAGGGTGGCCAATGGGGTCTCAGCCCCCACAGATTAACCGTTGACCACCCCAATCAACTGAGGAAACTGTACTTTTAAGCAATATAAAAACTATAAAGCATAGTTTCCTCAAATGATAGGAGTGGTCAGTTTACACACACATATATATATACACTCTATCTATCTATCTATCTATCTATCTATCTATCTATCTATCTGTCTGTCTGTCTGTCTGTCTGTCTGTCTGTCTGTCTGTCTGTCTGTCTGTCTGTCTGTCTGTCTGTCTGTCTGTCTGTCTGTCTGTCTGTCTGTCTGTCTGTCTGTCTGTCTGTC